AGCAAAAGTTTAGCTGTTGATCTTGTTGTGTACTGGCAGAGGTAGATGGTAATGGATCATCGAGCATCTGAACAATTACATTTTACTTTTTTTCTTGCAGGGTGATTTCTGCTACATTTTCTAAAGCTATATTGCAAGTTGCCTTTTCCATCCTCCAACTGCAGTATTCTGCAATTCTCAATTTGAGGTGGAATTGTCTCAACTTTCCCTTTGATTTTGTCTAACTTAATTATTGTTGGTCCTGTACACTTTCCAAAGAAAACGTCATATGATTGAAAAGCCAGCTTTTCCTTTAAAAGCCATTTGGATGAAAAATACTCAGTGTGTTTGAACCACGATTCCCACTTCATTGATGAGGAAACTAGAAGCACAGGGATGTGAAAAGACTCGCCTCCTGCTGTAATTACAGCCCAATCCTGTCTACTCTGTGTTAAGCAGTAGCTGGAGTAACGGCAAGTCCAACTGCATATAAAAATTAATAAATAAAGGTACCAATGAGCCTGAATTCCTTGAAGGAGGAGGAAGAAACCAGAACTGTGATTTTGTGCTGTCCTACTGGGTACAGTGTAGCTCTTGTGGGAGCTATTTAGAGCTTCCCAAGGAGGGGGGAGGGAAGTGTTTCAAAAGCATATTTCTCCTTTTGTGTCCCAACATAATGCAATAAGCAATGACCCAACAAGCATTCATGTTATGAATAGCGGAAACAAAACAAAACTTGTTACAGTGGCAGGTTATGTTTACTCGTCTAATCCAGCCTCTTTAATAAAGCATCATAATGCCAACATCTACAACAGCTCTTAGAAGGAAGTATACTGGGAGGGATGTTTCTTTCCTTGCATGTGAATCTCTAACCCATGTAACCCATGGACGTTCCATTCAGTAGGATTGCACTGGCTAGGCTTTTCCTGCATGAAAAAACAGCTAGAGGTGGAAAAGCAGCAATTCTGCTTTTCTGTGTAGAACAAATTCACAATTACTGGTTGTTAGTGTTTTCTCATTAAAAGCAGAATGCTAAAGTAATGCTTGAGTGCTCCAGTATTGCTATCTAACACACGCCTCATTTTCATAAGTATTTTTAGACTGTGTGTGTGGGGGGAGTTCAGAGTGGGTGGTTAGTGCATTAGATAATGTACTTCAAAATGCCCACTATGAACCATGGGGGGAAAACCAGCTTAGAAATCACATGCTTCAGCTATAAAAATACAGTTTGCCTTCTTTTTTTTAAACAATAACAACTTTAAAATTTGTTAGCCAGCATGCTAAGATGATAAGAATAGTTTTCCCTTCACAGTCCATTGCAGAGCGATGTACCTGTTGCTGGTAGAACTGATATCCCTCAGGAAAAATTCCCCCCTGCCAGCTAAACTCATGTTTCTCATCCTGAGGTCTTGAATTCTGCATTTGCTGGGGCTGTCCTTGTGATCCCAAATGGTATCAATTCCCCAGAACCAGACAGATTTCCAGAGCCTGAAGTGGAAGAGAAAGATGTCTTTATATGCTTAAACCAATTATTTCTTTTTGGAAAGTGGATAGTATTTTGAGCTAATAACATAAGAGATCTTAATTCTTTTGAGCTTAAAGATTTTTTTCGCTTCATCATCACTTCCAAATATTGCTGAGGTCATCTATTAAAAAAAAAAAAAGCCTTTGAAGGTAAATAGTTTAACAGACACAGAAATCAAGTCTGAGAAAGAAGAAATGATTACTCAGAGTTGCTCGTACTTTGCCTACACACAATCCACATGCCTTTAACTGCAGCATTGGAAAAACAAATACCTGAAAAGGTGGAGTTGTCCTAACGCCAGCAAAATATGCTGACAAACAGGTGCGTTGTCTATCTAGTTTTGTTTTTTAGACCTAGTAACAGTATTTTGGCCTTTTTCGAGATAATTGCATTTCAGCTGCCTTAACTAAGCCATAGGTTCAGAGAGGTGCCACTCTAAAATCTCGTTCTGAATTGTTTTATAGTAGTCCAAAGTCAGGCTTGGTTTTTCCAGTGCACCCATCCTTTGGTGAGGCAGACCTGCTTTCTCCCTTCAGTTTGAGGAAGGGAATATATTTAGAGAAAAGAGCCACATCCACCTTCTTTACATCCCATTGCAGCTATCTGAAACCAGAGATTTTCAGATCTGAACGAGGGAGAGGGTGACCTCTTTCATGAATGGACCAAAATGGAATGTTTTCATTTCCAATGGGCTTTAAGCCAAGTAAGTATTAGTCAATCCAAACTAGTTTTGAAATTAAATTATTCTTATTTGTTGGAGCATTCCAGGGAATGGCTTTGATCTGTCTGTACTTTCACCAAAGGGATATTGGCAGGCTGGTCTCCCATTTCTAGCCATTTGGGATGAAAGAAGGGTTATAATAACCACCTTGTGTGGCAGTGATACTGAACAGATGACATCTTTTGGACAATATTAAATGAATAAAGGTAAACATACTTCAATTAAAAAGTTTTTGGAGGCTGAATGCAATAGGGCTGTTGGAAAGTCTTCTATGTGGGTTGGAGGAATTTGGCTGCATTTGTAACTGATTTTCTTTAACTCCAAAAATGTTGGAAAGAGAGAGGATTGTTCTGTGCATTATTTCCTTTTCAAATAAATATGTTGTTTGAATATAACATTTTAAAATCAACTTAAAATTGGCAGTGGACAACAAAATTGTTAATAACTGGGAAGTAGAGGTGTGTTGAAGGAGGACGGTCATTCTTATTTAGTGCTTTGCTCTTTTATTTCTGGGATCTCAGATCACATCATGCACAGTGAGCTGTACCAGGCACAGTACAGCTAAGAGGTAGCTCAGATGACACTTGTAAGTAAACTGAAGTACGCAGCAACTAAGTGGCACATTATTGGTCTTGCTGAAGATATTTGGAGACAACTTAAAATTTCAAGTAAACAAAAAGAAGATGCTCAGTTATCATAATAAGGATATTGGGCATTCCTCTTCAGTCTTTTGCTGGAGGGTCCTCCAGAAGAGGAGGAGGAGGGAGCAGGGTAGTGGAGACGATCCCACCATAAAGAGCTACTTAGACACAGCTGAAGAGCCTTTTAAATTGATATCAGGTGATGATAATTTGTGCTCCCCTTAGACTTAAACAATAACTGAAATAAACTGAATTAGAATATAAAGAGTGGAATAATTTAGTTGGAAAGGACTGCTGGAGGCCATCTGGTCTGACCACCCTACAAAGCAGGGCCACCTTCAAAATTAGGTATCTATATAAGAAATTCAGCCATCTTTTAAGTCTCAGCTTAGATGGATTTCAGGTTATGTGGAACTTCTGGTGTTGAGGTCTCTTACGTGTATTTGCAAGGTTTTTATCAATAACAAAATATACAAATTAGCTTTTGCAATAATGCTGCAAATTAAATTGCTTTTCCTTGAAATGTGAGTAGTTCGCATGGATAGATATGTGTCTTCTCATGCGCACTCTGTGCGGATTTGCTTTCCTTTCACAGGAATTGGACTAGCTGTACTTGATTTCTGAGTTAAATAAAAGAAAAATCTCCTTTAACAGATACCACTTTAAACAGTCAACCCTGTTGATGAGTGTCCTGAAATGTCACCTGCATTTTAAGTCTATTTAAGTGCTTTGTATGTTCATGCCTTAAGGGAGGAACAGTTTGAACAAAGGCGGATATAAAAACCAAAGCACAAAGGGATTGTAGGTTGAAACTTCAGCTTTTGTTTTTTTGAACATCCGCTCAAAACTGGATCCATTTGCTTGAAATGGGATATTTAGTTTTCAACTCAGCATGTGTGCTGGTCATGCTTGAATTTAAAGCTTGATTTATTTCTTTTTGCACCTGTTTTTGTTTCGACACTGACTATGTACAATATATACTTTTGCTGCATGGTTCCTTTCCCCCCAGCTGGAAGTCTGGTCTGATATTATCACTTGAGACCTTCCTAAAATGTACGTTTGTAACTCTGCAACCTCTGGAAATGCAAACTAGACTCGCTGCTCCATTTATCTTTTTTGAATTCATGGTTTTCTTTCCTGTGTGTTGTAAGACTGACTCATATATTTGTTTTTAAGACCAGGGGCTGGTTGTGTACTGCACTGCAAAACCTTGTTTCTATCAAAACAAAGTGCAATCCTGCCCGTGGCAAGAGGTACCAGACAGGCCAGATCAGAGGGGGAGAACTGGACATGAACTTGGAGGAGGAAGCTGTGGTGGGGCGTAAAAGGAGCCTGAGATGAGGGAGAATGGGGAGATGTGAGACGGAGCGTGGGAAGCGATGCTAACGCAGCACAGGTGTATGGGAGAGCTTGGAAGTCTGGGATTTTTCTGCAATATATTTGACAAAGAGAAGGGATGAACTGAGTGATCTTAAGGAGACGGTTTTAAATGAAATGACATGCGTATTCTATTACATATGCAAATTAGAATTATATAATCTGCAATAATAATAATAAAATCTTTTCCAGATTTGCAGCCTTAACCAAATGCTCAATGTGATGGTGGCAGAGAGCTGGCTAATGCAGCTGCAGTGTAAAACTGGGGCATCCAACTGGTTTTGATCTTGATAGGAAAGAGGCAGAAGGTCACATCACAGTCTGTTGTTCTCAGTGTTGTAGTTTATATAATTCTTTGGGCAGATAAATGATGTATGGTGAGATCAAATGAAAATGCTTCATTTAGTTCTGTAGTAACTGAAAGCCATCTTCCTTCCTTGCTTTCCCTTCCCCGTGGAAAACTAAAGTTGGTGGATATGTCTCCTGTTCTTGTCCATGCAGGTGTATGAATTTCAGGTGTACTTACTGTATCCTGTGCTGGGTTAACTATGATAACCATGCGTGCCCTTTATGAACATAATTATTGCTGATAGCAAAGATGAGCAAAATGATCGAATATACTGATACTGAAACAAAGCCTCCCTAGAACTAAGTGGGAGTGTTCAGCCAACAGATCACAACAGATTTCTTTTCAGGGCTTGAAGAACTGCTGGTTTTGGTAATGTACAGAGCTTTTTACCAAGGCATGAGCTTATAGATGAATGAGAAGAGCTACTGCTGCCTGTACAGCCACAGTTACTGTTTTTTGGTAAGGAAGGTGGAAAGAAAATCTCAGTGGATATGAAACTTTTTTATCTTTGTGTGTTTATGGATTACAGATGAGAGATGTGTTTAGTGATTAAGTTGGTTACACTGGAACTATAAGCACAGTGGCTAGCTTGGATGGGAGAAATGTGAAAGCTCAAGCAAGGTTCAGGGAATTTGTTAAAATTTATGAAGACAGAGGCAATTCTAGGCCGCTATTTCAATTCTGTTGTTTTAGATATGCGTATGCGGGGGGATACATACATATATGTGCGCACGTGTGTATAAAAAAGACCGTGTGGGGGTATATGCTCATGTTTGTCAGACTTGGCGTGATTTCACCATGTTAAGTTGCTATTTTGAATATACCCTTGGGATTTCTATATATCTCTTCCTAGAGCTGCACTCAACATATTTTCTAGCTGGGTGGCTGGCTGTGATGCTTAGGCATGCTAAGGATGACTTGCATATCTGAAAATTAGGATGGGCCCTGAGTCATGTGAAAGGAGTGTATAAACAGGGAGTAGGAGCCTTGTAGGTAGAGAAGTTTTATTTTATATGATGTGGGTCTTGCAAATGTAAACCTAACCTTTTTTCTTGTCCTTTTTCCTAGGGTGACTCTGTTATTACAGTGCAACTGACTGAGGAAGATAAAGTTGAAGATGATGTAGTTTTTTACTTGGTCTTCACTGGGTCAACTGTCCAACACTGCACAAGTACGAGAAAGATTAATCCTGGGAGCCTGGAGACAATTTCTCCTGGTAAACAATTGCCTTTCTTTGCATATCAGTGTATCAGTCTGTGAAATTTGGTTAGCTCAAGTGGACTTAAATGTAATGCTGTTTTGTTGGTTGTCTTTTTCCTCATTTACACATTCAGAGAGAGTAGAACACATAGTTTGGATGACTGCTTATGTCTTTTAAAAATGTCTTGCTTGATTTCGCTAGAATTATATGACTCTCAGGTTGCAATTATTTAATGTGTAACTATGGGATTCTATTGTAGAAAATACACAGTTATGTTTACATATAGTAAAAGGCTTTTAAATGCAAGCAAGATAATGGAAGACATGTTTGTCAGGTTAGAGATGCTGTTGTCCAAATGATGTACAGCCTGGTAAGTCCTAGCTACAATTAGGATCTGCTTACCTCGGTGAGGTTCATTGCTGTAGTCCTGGTGAAATACAACCCTTTTCCCCTAAATCCTGTCATGCAGATCAGAGCCAACACAGAGTTTTTGAAACACTTGCAGTGGCAGGCAATGTAGGTGCTTGGTGCCATCCCTCCAGCACAGCCGGTTCAGACGGGGTGGATTTTCACGTTAAAGCCCACCACTCTTTTTAAGCCTTTGTGCCATTAACAAAACAAAACAAATCGGTGCAGCATTTTCCTTCAGTGACTTCAGGACCGTGGGAATAAGCCTGTTCCAGGCTGCGGTCCTTACCATTAACCTTTCATTCTGACTTGTTGCTATGCAGCACGTTGATACTAGTGTGAGAAAAACGCCTGACATTTTCACTATGCACAGTATAGCTTAAGTGATCAAGTGTATTTCATGGGTTTGCCTTTTTATCTATCTTGTAAGTATTGTTTTATGAGAGATGCATGTGAAGTAAGATTTGGGCTAAGGAGTTTCTCCTCCTGGGAATGAGTGGCTAAAAGTTGGCCACCGTATTTTTTCATTTCCTCCTCCTTTTGTGCTGTTTGAGTTGTTCAGTTGGCTTGGGAAGAGAAGTCTTTTTACAGTTACTGATGACTGGAGCCCTGTGCAATCAATTAGATTAGTGCTTATTTTCTCCCAGAGGAGGGAGAAGAAGGGGTGACTCCTTCCCTGCTTTTGTGTGGCAGGCGCGGGGCTCTGCCAGCGCCGCTTGCAATGACCTCACCTCCCCCTCGGGACCGTGGCAGCGTCGCCAAGAAAGGAACTGAAAAGCTTCAGTGTTCCCCTTCAGCCCGTGCGGGAACCGGCATACTTGATGGGATTTCCGGGAGGGAGTGATGCTTTCCTATCACCGCTGGCCCTGACGTCTTTGGAGCAGCGGTGGATGGGGCTGGGGTGGTGGCTGCCAGACAGTACCCAGGGTGATGCTCTGGGCTCTGCCTGTCCTGCTGGCCCCAAATGTAACTGAGTCACTGGGGAGGGCTCCCTGGGGTTCGTTTTGTCACTGTTAGTGGGAAATCTGACACTGTTTGTGATTCAAAGGGAAAGGAGGGAACTGTTCTCAATTGTTCCTTTAGTTATAATGGGCTTTTTTTTTTTTTTCTGACCCAGTAGAGTCCTGATCTTGCGGTGTAGTATGATAGATAGGGGTAGCTGCTGTCCCAAAATACAGCTTGTATCAGGCAAAGATTTAGCAGACCTTTCAGAAAGGTAGTCCCTTTCCTGCCAGATAGCACTGTCTGGGGTCGCAGTGCAAGGGAAGAAGAGGTGACATCTCGCATGTAAAGCAACCATTTTGATAACACCTCTTCTATGCTCATACCTCATTTTGGAAAAACTACCTGAGAAAAAAAGACTTCAGTGGTGAAGGGGTTACTGGAGAGAAGCAAAATGGGAAAACCCAATTTTTTTCATACCCTCCGCTGACACCGATGCGTTTGTCCAGTGTTGCTTCAGCACTGACTACTCTGATTTCAATAAGAGCATGACTTATTTCAACCCAGCTCTTCCTCCTCCTCCTCCTCCTCCTTCTTCCTGAACTCAACAGTGAATCTGTAATCATGTGTTTACACTGTATATTCGGCCAGTTGCCTTGGAAATGGTTGCGGTGACTCAGAGCTGGCGTTATTTGACCTTGCTGCAGGATTAGCCATGAACAAGAGACAGTGTGTGGGAGACCAGCCCTTGCCCAGGCACTTAGCAAGTGCTCTGCAAAGAAACTCTCGCAAACAGCTTTGTAACCAAAATCTCATCCTTCACTTCCAGCTTTGAGCATCTTTCTTCGTCCCTGCAATGCAAGATGTGTTGCACATCCCTGGGATGAAGGAAAGGCTGATTCACTCAAGAACATACCGAGCCTCTCTGCCTTCCTGCCTTGCACCTCTTCTGCTTCTATTCTGGGCTTGGAGGCTCTGCCTTCATCCTCATCCTAAGTCCTTAGAGTTTCATATGGTCCCTAGGAGCCTTCACATGAAGTCCATCAGGGGCTGGGGTGAAAAGAGTAACCATAATTCTGTTAAAGCTAATGTAAAAACAAAACCAGATTTTAAATTTTTTTCTTGACTCTGTCAGTAGTTTTGGTGATGTATGGAAGCGTAGAAAACAGAAAGAGAAATTATTTAATTATATTTGCTGCCAAAATTAAGTAGAATGTTTTAGCAAAGCTTTCAAAGGAAATCACATAAAAAACCCCCACCTCAACAACATAAGGTGGTTTTAGATGAGAAATTAAAAGAAAATAGAATGGAAGTATAAAATGTCAGAATACCTCCTAAATTCTCATTGTGTGTGAAAATTCTCTATATCCTGAAAGACTGCCTAAATAAAAGCTTACAACTGCAGAGTCAAATGACTGCTGCATTTTATATAATTACTAGAGCAATCTGCCTCTTTCTTAGGCTGTCTTTATCATCAGCCTTAAACACTCAAAATATATATAGTTAATAGTACAATTCAAATGTAAGCTTTTATTTCTGTACATAATAAAAGAAAGGACTCCTGATTGTAAATATATGGGAGCAGCTTTTTTTACTTGAAGATGTGGCTAATGTAGATTCAGCAGTCACTCAAAGGACAAAATACTTACCTGTATTTCTGCACTTGCTCTGAAGGATGGGATGGGGTTGTTATCCTGCCCCACTATTGACTGTGTTATTTTAAGGGAAATAATTTCCCCTTGTAAGAAACAGATTCTCATCTGAGCTTATCTGTCATTACTTGAAGTATCAAAATAAGCTACTGGGATACAAGAATTAGGCAGCGGATGATGCTTTGTGTGCTTCCAGTAGCTCTTTTGCCAGCCTAAGGACAAATCAGGTTACATCGTCCAACTAAGCTTCTGAGGCAAAAGGTACCAAAAACTTATTTAACTATTGCTTTACTGTCACTGTTACAATGCTTCAATTTATAAATCATCTGGTTCAAAGTCTCTATAATTGAAGTTTTCCTCAGTACCAGCAGCACTCTAATTCTGCAGAACAATTTCAAATGCTGTCTTGTCAGATACCATGTTAAAGTCCGTCGGCATGGCAGAGAGAGATGTAATGGCACTGGATGTTGCTTGAGTTTGGACATCATTAGTTGAAAAAGCTTGGTTGCTGGAGTTTGGTTATTAAGAAAATACCAAAGGTCCAAGCAGAGAAGGATGCAGAGAGATGGTATCAGCTCTGCTCCTATGGCTAAACTATTGTTGCTGCTGAAATTGTACTGTTGGGGATGGATGTGTCCACTTAACATCATGTGCTTGTCCTACTTAGTGTTGGTAATAAACTAAGCTTTTCAGCAAGTCCTTATTAGTGTAGTAACTAAGACTGTCATAATCTTTAATGTACGTTTTTCTTCTCAACATCTCTGCAGGGTAAGGAGGGTAACTGAGACATTGAATGGCCAAGCAGATTGCATGTGGTAGTGTAGAAAGTCTGTGTTAAAGCAGGGAAGTGAAACTTCATTGCAAGACAGCAGCCTCATTGCCTGCCTCTGCTGCTAGAGCAGCTTTTCCCCCCACTGGAAAAAAAACCCTAATAATAAAAAGCCTCAAATCTGGCAAACAAACTAACAAAAGAAGGAACAACCTCACCCCTGTCCACATGAGTCAGAAGCCCTAACCACAGCCTGCTGTGGGCAGTGGAGGCATCTCGGCGTCAGGAAGCTCTTGGGCAGATTTGGGAGAACATTCCTGCAGGAGAAAGCTCACAAAGTGAGCTGGTCTGCTGGGAGCTTGAGTATTTGTGCAGTGCATCTAGTGCAAGTTTGTGGGCCATCACAATAACGGCTCTATTATTGAGCACAAATTTTGCTTTGCATTTAAAGACGGGTTTGTAGTATGTGGGAGATGCAGAAGAGCTCAGTGGAGGAAATTTGAAATGAAATTTCAGATAGGGAGACACAGTCCCATACTGTAAATCCAGAGCTGCAGCAGCTCCTGATCAAGCAAGTGAAGGGTAAGAAATACCCTGTCTATAAGCTAAGTCACTGAAACACTAAGTAAGGTAATTTTGTGAGATATAATTGCCTTTGTGTGTACTGTTGCAATGTGTTGTATCACTCTGAGCCTTTGCTCTGTAGTACCTAAATCATGTTTCTCTTGTTGGTATCTGATCTCAAAAGGTGCAGGATTCTTGTATGGGTTTCAAAGGGGAGGAGGAGCAAAATTAGAGGCAGAAAAAGGGCCTGAGAGACTGCCTGCCTGCTGGTAGCTGGTTGCCAGCAGTTTCTACAGGGCTGAAACACTCCTGTTTACTCCAAATGCCTTGACTCACTGGGAGTTTTCTCTCTATGCTTAAGCTAAGGTAGAGAAGCAGGTTCGATCTTTAACTTGTTCTTAATGCTGTAGTTCTCAGGTTTTTGTTTTTTCTTTCTTTCTTTCTTTCTTACTTTCTTCCTGCTAGTTAAAAGGATAGACTAAAATTAATTTCAATTTGCTTGGAAATATCTTCATTTCAAACTTTTCTTTTACTGTGAAATCCTTTACATATGTTCATGCTTTATTGTCTTCTACCACAGACTGTTTTCCCCTAAGAAACAACTTTTCATAGAAAAAGCTGTATTTTATGAATTACAAACTTTGTACTGGTAGACGAAAAGGGTAAACAAGTTGCATAAC